TTTACCATGTTTCCATCACCACTCTTGACACGCTAAACCGCAAAATTTAAGAGGTAAGAATTTTATCTCTGGTGCTTAAGCCGACCCCCTAACTTTGGGCTGATTTTTTTTGTTCAAATTCCGTCTTGTAGGCCGAGATAGTGTACCTTTTATTTTCATTCATTAAAATTCATGTTTATCTATTCCATCACGTAAAACTATGTTCAGCAAGAAGCGTGATAGAAATTAGGCTAGCTACTCCTTGAAATTCATGAATACCTGGAAGGAAGATGTCAAAAATTGGGGATTATTCACAGACACGCAAGCGTCAACGTAATGTACGACTCAATCCATTGGATTATGGACGATCAGAAGAAGCAGCCGACTCACAGTCAGAATTTCCTTCCAGCAATTGATCAGTTCCTGAGTTCACTGGTTCAACGGTTAAATGTCTATGAGGAAACCTGTTCACTTTTCGGGTTCTTGTCTAAACTGGAGTCAATGAATTGTGACGAAATTGAAGCAGCTGCAGCAAAATTGGTTGCTGAGTAAAAAAATGATTTGGATCAAACACTTGGAGTTGAACTTGTGCAGTTTACAGCATTCTTCACTCAATTTCTTGAAGACGAAGATGATGAGAAAGGGAGGGCACATTACCTTTACAAGCTGTTGATAGACAAGAAAGTTGTAGATACATTTCCAAATGTTGAAATAATACTACTGATGTACTTGGTGCTCGTGGTCACAAATTGTTCTGGAGAACGTTCTTTCAGTAAAATGAAGTTTATTAAAAACAGACTTCGTACTACAATGTGTCATGATAGGCTCAACCACCTGGCTTTGATGAGTATCGAATATGACATCCTCAGAGAGATTGACTTCGAAAAGTTGATCAAAACCGTTGCAGCGGCCAGGTCACGTAAAGTGCCTGGTCTGTAAATAGAGGTAATGATTATTTTCTATTTTGCAATTGATCAATGTTTGTGTTCAATATATCCATTATCCATGGTAGATGGCAGTTATTTTTATTAAAATTCTTGTTTTTTCCAACATGTTCAGACTTTTGTTATAATTTTATCAAATTCATTAAATTGTTTATTTGTTTTACTATTGGATGCAAAACTTCAATTTTATTTATAGTCGAGTTAATACTTATTCTGAATCTATCTGACCTTGGACTTAAAGAAGCCTATACATGCATTCTTGGACATAACCATTATTTGAGTAGAGGTTTGTCTGATTAATAATGCAAAGAATCATCTCTCTGTAATAACTAATAATATATTCTTTTCTGTGAAGTCTCTTGAAAATTTTTGACATGTACGGTAGTAGCTATATCATGGCTGGTCAACTTGAAACCACATGAATGACTCCAGTCATGTCTCACTTTTGTGTGTGTGTGTGTTGGGAATTTGTACACTATCAATAAATATACAGTTAATTAAAAATTTCTCAATGTTCTAATTTCCTCAATATACAGTTGTATTCATCGCTTAACGTTTCACTAACGTTACTTCTACATACGGTGTCTCGGGCCAGAACCGAAGTTTCACGAACGCGGTTCATCTACCCATATACGTGAACATAATAGTTTTTTATTTAGGGCTCATAAAAATCTGCTAATAAACATCTTGCCAGAATATAATTTACATTGCTGGGAATTTACAATTTGATGATCATTTTGAATATAAACATCAGCAGATTTTGCATTAGACATACAAATTTTAGATATAATGTTTACTCTGAGCAAATATGTTATCTTTTGTGCAAAATATATGACATTTATATTCAAAATATTCCTGGTCTTACAAGGAATCCAGCAATGTCAATTATATTATCCTAACTTTAATCTGAGTTATTATTTATTACTAAAAATGTAAATTACTATTTTCTCCCAAAGCTTCTCTGGTAGGGAGGGTTGGTGGGGGGTGGGGGGAGGGTTGGGACGGACCAACCATCTGGCGCGGTTGAAAGAGGGGGGGGAGGCAGGGTGGGGTACTTTGATTGACAGATAGTGTCGTGAAGAATATTTTTTTTTTTATTAACTGAAGATATTTTTTTTAGCTCATAAAATTCATACAAATTACCCGGCCAGAATATAATTTACATTGCTGGAATTCTTACAATTTGATGATTATTTTGAATATAAACATCATAGATTTTGCATTAGACATACAAATTTTAGATATAATGTTTACTCTGAGTAAATATGTTATCTTTTGTGCAAAATATGTGACATTTATATTCAAAATATTCCTGGTCTTACAAGGAATCCAGCAATGTCAATTATATTATCCTAACTTTAGTTTGAGGTATTATTTATTAAAATCTAGTGGTTTTCCCCCAAAAATTTCTCAGAGAGGGAAGAGCCAGCAGTGTAGTGTGAGAAGAGGAGGAGGGAGTTGAGTCCATTATTTGAATGGACATTAACTTGGCGACTGTATTTCTCTATTTCTCTTAAGTATTAATTGTGTGCATGTACCATCATAAAATTAAGATGTTATTTTTACTAGAATATATAGTTGTGTGTTGTCAAAGTGGAGTTTGGGGGTCGGGCCAGTCTCTATTGGAATTAATCCCATATGTTCTGTTGTTCACTTTACGCGGTTTTCACTTAACGCGGTAACCTCTGGGTTCAATTGACCGCGTTAAGCGGGGTACAACTGTAACTGCATATGGCTTCAAAATTCTCCAAAGAAGTGTTCAAATTTCAAAATTTTCCCAGATGTTTAGGCTCGCTTCACTCACCACCCCACCCTCTTGGGTAGTTATAATGAGGGGGGCCTCCACAAAGAGGCTGCCCATGGGCCTCCACAGGTCTAAATCCGGCAGTGATAATAACTATCCTATATTTCCCCTCTGTGAAGTATTGATATCTTAGTCCCTCTAACCAGCTCCCGGCTGAGTCTCCCCATGGTGTAGGCCTTTCTAGCCTAACCACAAGCCGTTAGACCTGTACTCCCCCTCCCCAAACGTAAACAATTAACTCCCTCACCCTCTCCACCTCTCACGAGTATAAAGAGAAAGAAGAATAAGTACAGTATATAAATAAATATAAGGAATTAAAAAGACAATAAAAGATTAATTTGTTCCATAAAATATGTCATATTAAATATTAGGGACACATAATATTTGTTACAACATAATACTGTAGTAAGTCTCACATAGTAGTGTAGTGGCTCTCACATAATAATGTAGTGGCTCTCACATAATATTGTAGTGACTCTCACATAATACTGTAGTGGCTCTCACATAATAATGTAGTGGCTCTCACATAATATTGTAGTGACTCTCACATAATACTGTAGTGAGTCTCACATAATACTGTAGTATAACACTGTAGTGGCTCTCATATATTATCAGTGGCTCTCTTACATATTACTGTAGTGGCTCTCACATAACACTGCAAGGGCCTTGAGACACTAGTGCCTGACACATTGTAGTGGCTCTCACATAATACTGTAGTGACTCTCACATAATATTGTAGTGACTCTCACATAATACTGTAGTGGCTCTCACATAATAATGTAGTGGCTCTCACATAATATTGTAGTGACTCTCACATAATACTGTAGTGAGTCTCACATAATACTGTAGTGGCTCTCACATAATACTGTAGTGACTCTCACATAATATTGTAGTGACTCTCACATAATACTGTAGTGGCTCTCACATAATAATGTAGTGGCTCTCACATAATATTGTAGTGACTCTCACATAATACTGTAGTGAGTCTCACATAATACTGTAGTGGCTCTCACATAATACTGTAGTGACTCTCACATAATATTGTAGTGACTCTCACATAATACTGTAGTGGCTCTCACATAATAATGTAGTGGCTCTCAGCCATATCAGAAAGTGGCTCTCCTACTATAACATTACAGTGTTCACAATACTGCAGTGGCTCCCATAATACTCAGGCCTGCACATTGCAGTGGCCTCACATAACACTGCTGTGGCTCTCACTGCACTGCACACATTGTCATCCCTAAAAATCTCTTTAAGTCATATTACTACATAACATTCAAAGCCACCGCGCTTTGTAGAGTCTCAGAAAATGTGGGAAACGCTATAAAGGATAACTTATTTGTGTATGTTTATAACTCATCTAATGTATGTTTATAACTCATCTAATGTATGTTTATAACTCATCTAATGTATGTTATATAACTCATCTAATGTATGTTTATAACTCATCTAATGTATGTTTATAACTCATCTAATGTATGTTTATAACTCATCTAATGTATGTTTATAACTCATCTAATGTATGTTTATAACTCATCTAATGTATGTTTATAACTCATCTAATGTATGTTTATAACTCATCTAATGTATGTTTATAACTCATCTAATGTATGTTTTATACAAATAGTACCCAGGTATGGCCATATAAGTGTATGTACTCATAGCATTAAGGAGAACTCAAGGTATCTATAGGATGATTGGGAAGGTCCAATTGATATGGACTAGTGTACTATAAGGGATAAGAGTAGATCATGTTTGAAGGTCCTTCTATTTATGTCTGTGAACAATTAGTGAACATAGCTACCGCAGGTATCAGATGAAAATATAAAAGAACATTGATTTGGAAAAAGGATAAGTGTATCAGACCTAAGTGAAGTGTTGGAAGTGATCCACAAACTATACTTCAAAGAAAATATCTTGCATGCCTCGGCATGAGCTTAATACACCTCATTATCTCATGTGACATATAACCACAGACCATACAATTATCAGAGCATCTTATGAATGTGTTCAACGATTGCAACGTGCGAGAGGAGGATCCCTAAATACAGATTGAAGTGAAGTGGATATACCCACGCCATGAAAATACGACGCTCGGCTTTTGTTCAATGTTAGCGTCTTTTCTGCCCCACGAACTGTCAAACCAGATCCTTACTTTAGTATGTAATTTAGGATTAAAATATGTAATTATAAGGCATAAGGTCACAATAAATAGGAAAGTGGAGATGTGAGAACCAGAAGAAATCAAAGTGTAAATTTAAGTTTGAAACTGTAGGCCTACTTCAGTGCGAGACGCGAGCCGTTCGTCCTTAGACGTGCCTCGCTCTTCCACCCAAACAGGTCAGTGAATCCCTTTGTGCTCCATTCAGCCCTGAAAAGACGTATTTATCAGTATTTTACATCTTAAAACCTTGCTTGATGTTATAAAGTGAAGTAATAGTTGTACTAGTGTGGTGATAAAAGCCCAACAGGCATTATACTTAGACGTGCCTCGCTCTTCCACCCAAACAGGTACCACGCGTTCTGAGCGTCGGCTATTACCGCACTGTGAAGGACGCACCATGTGTGGTGTGACTGTTTACAGCCATTATGGCCCTTCACTGTGAACCTGTGGATACCCTGCATATCACCACCCAGGATAGTAGAAAATAATTGTATGTTTGAGAAGATTCGTGGTCGCTACGTGGAGCAACCTAAGAATACCAGCCGTGGAAACAGCACCTGTACTGTACTGGTATGGTTACTCGGGAAGTAACCCCTCTACTCATCAAGAGTAGTGTGTGGATGAGGTACCTGGTATGTGTACCTAAGAATACCGAGGAGTTTCATACTTGTAGGTGTGGAGTGTACCCGGGATGTGGTGCTATGATATGACATCTGGTGCTGTAATGTAACTTGTGATGCTATACTCTAACAGGTGGTGCAGTCTGATATGTTGGGTGTTTGGTAAGAAGGAATGACCGAGGTAAGGAGGTCATAGGTTGTTGTTAAGAATGAAGAGGATAAAAGTAATTATTTGATGTAAGACGTGTATTGATGTGAAGGGTAATGAACATAATAGTTGTTCTTCTGAAGAAGGCCAATTCTTTTTGTATTATGACGGGATGCAATATGTTTTGTAAGGAATAAATTAGTTAAGTCATGTTTGATGTTTCACTCTTCTTCCCACTCTCGATTTGGTCAATGAAAAACCCAACCCAATGCCTAGCTCACTCTGCCCGCTACCTAACGAGCTACATACTGTCCAGGGGGGGTCTGGTGGCAGCAACCTTAAAATTAAGGATAGAGTTAAGTTATCCCCTTAGAATTAGTGACCCCAGAATCTGGCAGTATATCACATAATAATGTAAGGACTCTCACATAGTGCTGTAGTGGCTCTCACATAATACTGTAGTACAGGGGTGTCAAACTCATTTGCCAAGGCGGACCAGATTTAATATGAGTACACAGTATGCGGGCCAAGTAACATAATTATGAGCACTTCGCAATCACCTCTTAGGTAAGTAGTACGACAAAATAAGGAAGGTGGATTTAGTCTGCGCTCGTGCGAAACCCTTAAAAACAAACAAACAAATCAAGTGTTTACTTACCTTGATCAATCTTATTGTTTGCTACTGCTGCTTCCTGAAAATTGGCACCTCTTAGTATGGACCAGTGCATCAAAGTTTGGCACTAACGACTGAGCTGTAGCAACCTTCAGTATTGAATTAAGGTGCGCATCAGTAAGTTGAGACCGAAGCTGAGACTTGTTCAAGTTCATCACAGAAAAGAGTTGTTCACAGACATGTGTACTTCCGAACACTGACATAATCTTTGAGGCAAAACATTTAATCCTGGGATAATTTAGTCCAAAATATTGATAAAATGTGCCAACATCAACACTCGAAAACTTGTTCCTCAACACAGAATCACACTGGAGCTCAATTAATTCTAACTGAAGATGTTCTGGTACCTCATTAACACCAACAGAGAATGGGTCCCGAAAAATGAAAAAATCCTTCTCAAGTCTTTTAAAGTCAGAAAATCTTTCTTGGAACTCATTCATTAATTTGGAAATCTTGATGCAGTACTTTTTTGTGTTGATATCAGCATGAAACTGAGGTGTGCCTTGCAGGGACTTCAAGGTCGGAAAGTGAGAAAGATTACTCTCTGATAGTTGCCGCTCAAAAAGCTGAAGTTTCATCTCAAAGGCACAAATGCAGTCATAAAACTCTGTCATCAATTTATTGCGTCCTTGCATCTTTGTATTCACGTAATTTAAGTGTTCTGTAATATCCACCAGGAAAGTTAGATCTTGAACCCATTCATTATCTTTCAGTTCATGCAAATCCCTTCCTTTCTGTTCCATAAACATCTGAATTTCACTGCGCAATTCATAAAATCGCTTCAGTACGACTCCCCAACTAAACCAGCGAACATCAATGTGATATGGCAGTCCATGTGTGTTCTCATTTTCCTCCAATAAGCAGTCTGTGGTTCAGACCTCGTGCGCGTATGAAGTTCACTATCTTTATAACAACATCCATGACATTATCCATCTTTAATGTTTTACTACACAACACTTCTTTATGTATAATACAATGCACATTATAAATTTAATGTTCTTTCATTGGTGAAGTTGATTGAGTATTTTGTTCTAGGAAACAGCAGACTATTTTATTCAGCTGAGGGATACACTCACTATTTAGTTTTAGCTTCCCAAGGTAAAGCTGGAGCAGCAAATGGGCCGCATGTTTGACACCCCTGCTGTAGTGGCTCTCAAATAATAGTGACTTACATAATACAGTAGTGGCTCTCACATAATAATGTAATGGCTCTCACAATATACTGGAGTGGCTCTCACATAATACTGTAGTGGCTCTCATATAAAAATGTAGTGGCTCTTACATAATACTGTAGTGGCTCTCACATAATACTGTAGTGGTTCTCACGTAATAGTGACTCTTACATAATACTGTAGTGGTTCTCACATAATACTGTAGTGGCTCTCACATTAGTGACTCTTACATAATACTGTAGCAGCTCTCACATAATAGTGGCTCTCACATAATAGTGACTCTTACATATTACTGTAGTGGCTCTCATATAATACTGTAGTGGCTCTCATATAATACTGTAGTGACTCACATAATACTGTAGTGGCTCTCAGATAATACTGTAGTGACTCACATAATACTGTAGTGACTCTTACATTATAGTGGCTCTCACATAATAGTGGCTCTCACATAATAGTGGCTCTCACATAGTAGCTCATACATAATACTGCAGTGACTCACATAATAGTGAGTCTCACATATTAGTGACTCTTACATAATACTGTAGTGACTCACATAATAGTGACTCTTGCATAATAGTGGCTCTTACATATTACTGTAGTGACTCATATAATAGTGACTTTCACCTAATAGTGAATCTCACATAATAGTGACTCTTACATAATAGTGACTCACATAATAGTGCCTCTCACATAATAGTGACTCTTAGATAATAATGACTCACATAATAGTGACTCTTAGATAATAGTGACTCTCACATAATAGTGACTCTTAGATAATAGTGACTCTCACATAATAGTGACGCTTACATAAAAGTGACTCACATAAGTGTCGCCCTAATATAAAAATGGTCCTCACATACAAGTGGGTCTTCACATATAAGTGGCCTTCACTTAAGTGTAGTCCTCATATACAAGTGGCTTTCACATATAAGTGGCTATCACACACAAGTGGCCCAGCAAAGACAACCAGAACAGCCAATCACATGTGTGGTAATACTTGCACTGTACCTAAAAAACTCATGTGTGCTAAATCCTGGAAATGTTTGCCTGCATTGTTTCTCTGACAACCAGAGCATTGTCTCATTTGCTCAGGGTGTTGCCACCACTTAGTTCCTGATGACAGGGGATAAAGAATACCAATGTAGGACAAAATGGCACATATGTCTAATTAGGAGTACTGTACAGTACTGTAGTACTGTTCAATGGTACAAAAATGTCACTATATTAAGGAGAGGGGGGCCAGGTCAGCCTAACATAATTCAATGAAATATAATCTTTATCTGATGGTCTACCAGTCAAATTAAGAAATATAAGCTTTGACCTGACCTGACTTAAGCTAATCTGACCCTTTCCTTTAAACTAGTGAAATTTGTTCTGCCATTTTACTCCTATTTTGACTGCAAATAATAAATCCCAAAGAACTGGAGGAAAAGCCACTGTTATGGCAGCTTGGGTCTTGGAGGTCAAGAGTAAAGCACTTATGTGAGACATAACTGTACCACCAAGTGGCAACCCTCAACTTTTCCCTCTTTTGGCTCATAGATTCACCTACATATAAATTTCAGTCTACCAGCAGAAAATGGGCATCTTACCAAAACTATTAATTAAGTATTGTACTTACATATGTACATCAAGATACCAGTGTCTTGACGCCAGGCTCTTCATGCTTCAAGATAATGTTGGCGTCTCAGTGAGCTGCCACGTACAGGAACACATTATTTTCCAAAGTTTGGGTCCTTTATCTTCCCCTCTCCTATTCAATGCCTTAATCCCCTGGTAGTTTTATCCTGGAAGAATATAATCAGTGTACAGTATATATTACACAATTTCTGTGAAAAATAAAAGTGAAACTCAGGGCCGTATTCTCAGTCGCTATACCACCCAATCAATCAGGAACAGTGTCGGATGAGGTCATCCAGAGACGCCACAGCCCTGGTGGATCTGGTTTGCTTTCGGGATCGTTAGAACATTTCATCGGGAGGGGGTAACCGCCTGATAACAGTCCCAATGAGTATAAAAACCTCTTTTACCATCAAAATGTTGATATATTGAGATAGAATATATTAAAAACTGATAAAAAGTGAGTTGGTAACAAACTTGTATTTCCACATACTGTCCTGTACATTCAAAGATTGTCAGTCATCAAGAATTACTCAATTTTCTCATGAACAGCATTTCATACACATGAAAATTTTCAGAGATGCACCTTAACAGATACTGTAATTTATGAGAACACCACTGCCACCGGTAGGAGTTGTTCAATTTCGTTCATTTTTTTCAGATAATACGAACACGTGGAAAAAATTAACGAAATTGAACAACTCCTCCTGGTGATAACAGTGTTCTCATACATTACCACAGAAGCTGTTACATTATATAATTTTCAAAGATAAAAAGAACCTAAGTTATCTATAACCTAAGATAGGTAGATTAGGTTGGTTCATCTCATATCCTAAAGTTTAGACTAAGACCTGACCACTCATCTATTACCATTTTCTTGAGGTAAGAAGGCATTTATCCTCTATAGAAATATTTGTCAAGTTCTTGGTTAACCTGTGATACGGTCTTCCAGTATTACCAACTCAGGATAAGTTAAATCACTTAAAATGGACACTCGTCCAAATGAGTTATGCAATGGGATGTAATCGTATAAACAGCACACTAAGGACTCGGAGGCAGCGTGACAGCGTCGTTGGTACTGCACCTGTCAGGTACAGTAATGTATATACCCTGTACATGACCCAATTACACATGAGTGCATCAAACCAAGGACTCTTAGAACAGAAGAACAGTGTACCAGTAAGCCACAGCACCTCCAACCCACAATCACTATACTATGTGTAGCGTATAACGCTTGTGTCGAAGATAATCTTCCAAAATTGAAAATGAAATTATACTAACTGGAATCTACTTAGCTACAGACAACCTTTAAGAAAATGGAGGTGGGGTGATATTCTGTGAACCTCAAAGTGCTTTGAAATCAATGAACAGCCCGTCAGGTTCAAAAGTTGTCTGTGATATTAAAAGAAATGTGATAACTGCCAATGAGAACAATTCTCGTATCGAATTTGTGTGGATTCCATCCCATGTAGGAATTAGGTATCATGACCGTGCTGATAGACTGGCCAATGAGGCATGTAAGAGGGAAAATGTAGACCGTGACCGTGGCCTGTCCAATGCTGTGCTTGAAAACATTCAAGTCAGAATCATGAACTCTGATCTAGAAGAACTGACAACTGCAGAGAGACCTGGCAGTTGTAGCATTAGTAAATAAGAAAAAAATTTTGTGAGAGGCACCGGTATGGCCAGCATAAGGACAGAACCAAACAATGTGATGTAGTTATGTCCAGAATTAGGCTAGGATAGACACATCTGGCAAGTTAGTATCGCTGTACCCATACGGAACACTCAGCATGTAAACTTTGTGATAAACCTTTTAGGCATACAAATCCAGGTAAAAAAGTCACAGGAAAAAAAGTCACAGAAAAAAAGTCACCTAACCCAACCCAACCTAACCTAACCTACGTGCATCATATGTAAATTGTGTTGTCAATATGTAAAGGTCATATATTGTCAGTTAATAATTGTTTTAAAATATTTTGAGTTTAATTACCTTAAATGTGACTTTTTTTCCTAGCTAAAACTGTGACTTTTTTTCTGTGACTTTATTACCGTTCACCAAGGCATACACTTGAACACCATATTATTGAATTTGAATGTGACACTGTCAAAACACTTTAGGCCACCTGGCTTATTGTATCATGAACTTTGTAATTACTACATTGAATCAGGGGTGCTTGAGAACATTCTTGCTGTTTATCTAAAATTTGCTAGCCCACACTGATTAGTCTTCAATTAGAATATAACGTCCAATGTATATGAACCAGTCCTGCATGACAGTGAACAGTGACATCACCCACATGACTCTGACCTATATATACTGTTAATGAATATGATGTATTTCATTGTGTATGAACCTCTGTCCTGCGTGGCAGTGAGAAGTGATGCCATCCTCAGTGTCAAGACCTGTCTGGATTACTCAGAATAGGGAAATTGTACTCTAAGGTTTGTCAATAAATTTGTTAAACTAAACTAAAAACGACACTAACGGCCCAACACACGTGATAACTGTTGATGTTTACCGTCAGCAGCTGGTCAATCCTCCTGAACACCGAAAACGAGTTACAACAATTATTTTAAATCTAAATTTAGCTGCCATTATTTTGGGTTACACTTGTTTTTTTATTACTGTGAAATGAAATTTACGCTTGCTTCCTATTTTATATTATTATTTTAGACAAGAGAAATAAAGCAATATCTAACAATTTGACCTGTAGTTCATGTGTTGAGTTCATCATCTCTACCAAGCGTCTCAGTTTACTAGCGGTACGAGATGGTCTGTACTTTATGGCATTCATCCAACAAGGGACACATTACCGCCTTGTCTCTCTAATTCCACAATAAAAAGATAAAACTTGTATAAGAAACCTCAACTTATATCCACAAGTAGTAAGTGTATTCTCAAACACACGTTGAAGTTATTCACTTATTGCTTCTGGTTTATTTATATTATTTCATTTTCTCTTTTCAGAAGCCAATGTGAATAATGTGTATCTTTTAAATTATTGTTGCTGCTGTCATGATACTACTGTAAAGGAGTTCTTCGCATAAAAAGAATTACAGTATTGCCGAATTAATTTGAAATGTAATTTATAGTGCTTAAGAACGTTTGATGTAAACATGAGAGCCTTAGAATAGGTGGCGGAAATTATTTTGTTATCACTTCACTCATCACCTTACATATACAACTAATACAAACCGCTGAGATTATTTTGTAAATACTATAATAAGAAAAAAATGGGAGTTTATGTTGATAAAAGTTAAAAGTAAAGAATAACTAGAAGCAGACAAGTAATCACATTCAGTGTGAATTTCATACTATTTATCCTTTAGTTCTTTAAGAGGTTAGGTACAGTACACGAGTCATTGAATTTAGCTGGTGAAGCACAATCAAGTCTGAACCATAAGGACTTTAAATACACTCAATTTCATCCACCTTAATATTGTCTTTCAGTACTTCAATCACTAGATACAAAATAATAATGAATGGCTTTAGACGCCAATCATAAATAAACACCTGAGTCCCTAGCCGCATCAAGAACTACCAGTCGGGCCGAAATTCAAAACAACAAAATGTCAGTCAAGAACTAGTAAGTAATTTTCTACATTATCTGCAATAATTTCACTTGATACCTATTAATAATATATTGATATTTTTGTAAATTAGTGAAGAATCATTTATGGTTTATATATTGTAGTTTGTTCATATATAAGAGGTGGGGTGGGAAGCTTTTTCAAGCTTGTCACTGCAGCCAAGGCACTTTTTACGTTTACTTTTATCTTCTTCGTCACTGATAGGCTCGTTAGTCACTTGGGCAGTCGGTTACGTATCTGTTAAGCACTGTTGACAAGTATTCGGCATGTACTCGCTCCAAAAATGTATCTGTACATTTACAGAGCAGTAAGGACTGGTCCGACTAATTACCCAAATGTACCCAAATGTAGTCGCAATGAAGTCAAATAATGGTCCAACATGAATAAATCGGACTGCCAATCACTTCTCGACTAGTATTTGGTGTCACTAAGTCACCAAAAAGTGGAAACTTACTTTAATCTGAGTTAATAGATCGCGTGCATGTACCGAGGGAGCGAGTAATTACCCAAATGTACCCAAATGTAGTCGCAATGAAGTCAAATGATGGTCCTACAAGCTTAAATCGGGCTGTGAATCACTTCTCGATTATTATTTGGTGTCATAAAGTCACATCATGGATTTGCATTAGACATACAAATTTTAGATCTAATGTAATAATTTGGTTTACACAAAGCAAATATTTTATCCTTTGTGTAGAATATATGAAGTTTACATTCATAATATTCCCTGACCTGCAAGGAATCCAGAAATGTCACTTATATTATCCTAACTTTAGTCTGAAGTATTATTTATTACTAAAAGTTAAAATCTAGTATTTTCACCCAAACATTTGTCTGGTAGGGAGGGAAGGTGGGGGGGTTGGGGGGGGAGGGTTGGGACCGACCGACCCAGCTGGCGTGAGTGAGGAAGAGGGGGGGAGGCAAGGTGGGGTACTTTGATTGACAGAGAGTGTTGTGAAGAATATTTTTTTTTTTATTAACTGAAGATATTTGTCTTAGCTCATAAAATTCATACAAATTACTGGACCAGAATATAATTTACATTGCTGGAATTCTTACAATATGATGATCATTTTGAATATAAACATCATGGATTTTGCATTAGACATACAAATTTTAGATCTAATGTAATAATTTGGTTTACACAAAGCAAATATTTTATCTTTTGTGCAAAATATATGAAGTTTACATTCAAAATATTCCCTGACCTGCAAGGAATCCAGAAATGTCAATTATATTATCCTAACTTTAGTCTGAGGTATTATTTATTACTAAACGTTAAAATCTAGTGTTTTCACCCAATCATTT